TGGGAGGGGGCACGTGGCGGCCGCGGCGCGAAGCGCCGGGAGGGGACACGCCGGGACCCCCGGGGATCCCCCGGTGGTGGCGCCCCCGGGTCCCCTGGTGCCCCCACGGGGATCCCCCGGTCTGTGCTCCTCCGGAGGGCCCGGTGCCGCCCGACCGGACCCGCTCCGTGGCCGCGCTGCAGGGCCTGGGGACCCCGAACCCCCCAAACCATCACAGCCCGGGGGTCGCGGCCTCGCTCTGCGCCCACCTCGGGGAGCTGCTGCCCCTGGGGAGCGAGGGGAAAATCCGTGGGGATGAATCAGTGGGAGTCACGCTGGCGGCGCGGGGGGAGCGGAAATCACGCCTTGAATCGCGGCTTTGATTTTTCCCCCCGCGGCTGCCACAGGCACCGGGCGAGCGCGGCCGGCGGGTCCCGGTGGTGCCTGGTCCCGGCGGGGCGAGGGAGGCCCGGAGTCCCCTCGGGAGTGACCGTGGGGGGACACAGCCACGTCCCCCGGGCAGCAGCCATCGCTTCCCAGCGCATCCCAGTCCGCAGGAATTGAGGTGGGGAAACGCCAAGCCCGGGGTGTCCCCACCTCGACGGGCAAAGCTGCGGCCGCGCTGGGATCGGGCTGGAAACTCAATAATCCTGTTAGTTGGAAGAAGGCTGATTTTTCCCCTAATCCACTTTGCTCCCGTATGTCCCGGCCCGCCGGGTCCTAATCCGCTTTTCCTGCAGACGGGCAGCACCGGGCGCGGGGCAATCCCCGAGGGGTGCCGGGGTGGCGGTGTCCCCCCGCCCCGGGGGCGACACAAGGGACAATATTCCCCACAGCGCCGATGCCAGTGCGAGACACGATGCCGGGAGAGGGTTTGGGTCCCAAAATCCGCATTTGTGGAATTGATGGCCGCGGGATGCGACGGGAACCGGCTGCAGCGCGGCTCATCCCAGGGCTCATCCCGCTAATTAACGCTCAGGAGCAGCTTTGTTTAACGCCTGGACCCGGGGGAGGCTCCGGGCTCCCGGCGAGGATACTCCCTCCCGGTGCTGCGCTGATTTTTGGGGGTTCAGGATGAGGATTTGGGGGGACTTCCCATCCCTGGCAGCATCCCGAGGGACACGCGGGGCTGCAGCAGGACCGGGGCGTCCCCTGACACGGCGGGCACAGGTCCCCGTTAGTTGGGGGGCAGTGAGAGGGGACAGAAATGGGGAGGGGGGACCCGGGGATGGGGGGAAATTGGGATTTTCTGCCTCTGAGGCGTTGTGGAACCTCTGGAAGCGCTCTGAGTTTTGGTGTGATGGTGCCACCCCAAATACCTGAGAGTCCTGAGGGGTGCCAGCAGGTGGGGACTGGCACCAAGTGTCCCCATGCCTGCGTGTGCCTGTGCCACTGTCCTGCCCTGGCACCCACAGAGGGTCCCAGATCCCCCCAGGCCACAGGAGGGACACGGGGACAGGCCCCACAGGCAGTGCCATGGAGCTGTGACATCCCTGTGGAGCTGGCACTGTCTCCACGGAGCTCAGAGCACCCCCACGGCTCTGTGACCATCCCAGAGAGCTCTGGCTGTTCCCAGAGATCCATCACCATCCCTATGGATCCATGGCTGTCCCTATGGATCCATCACCATCCCTATGGATCCATGACTGTCTCTGTGGATCCATCACCATCTGCATGGAGCTGTGACTGTCCCTATGGATCCATCACCACCCCTATGGATCCACCACCACCCCTATGGATCCCTCCCCATGGATCCATCACCATCCCTTATAGATCCATCCCCATAGACCCATCACCATCCCTATGGATCCTTAACATCCCTATGGATCCATCACGACCGCTATGGATCCATCCCCATAGAGCCATCACCATCCCTATGGATCCCTCCCCATGGATCCATCACCATCCCTATAGATCCATGACATCCCTATGGATCCGTGACCATCCCTATGGATCCATCAGCACCCCTATGGACCCATCATGACCCCTATGGATCCATTGCCATGGATCCATCACCATCCCTATGGATCAATCACGACCCCTATAGATCCCTCCCCCCGGATCCCAGCCGTCCCCCCGGATCCCTGACATCCCTATGGATCCATGACCATCCCTATGGATCCCTCCCCATGGATCCCTGACATCCCTATGGATCCATGACCATCCCTATGGATCCCTCCCTATGGATCCATGACCATCCCTATGGATCCATGACCATCCCTATGGATCCCTCCCTATGGATCCCTGACATCCCTATGGATCCATCACCACCCCTATGGATCCCTCCCCCGGATCCCCGCCCTTGGCCGGTCTCTCGGTGCCCGTTCCCGCCCCGTTCCCGTCCCCCCCCGCCGTTCCCGCCCCGTTCCCGGTGCCCACGCGGCTCCCGCGCGCGGGGAGCAGCGCCGGTTTCCGTGGCAACGGGCGTGATGACGCACGCGCCGCGCTCCCGCCCCCTCCCCGCGGGCACGCGCGCGCGTCACACCCGCGCGTGTCACACGCGCGGGCACGCGGCACGGGGGCGGCGCACACGCACACGGAACACGCGTGTCACACACACACACGGAACACGCGTGTCGCATTTTTGTTACACACACGGGACACACGTGTCACATTTGTCACACGCACATTTGTGTCACGCACACACGGAACACGTCACATTTGTGTCACACACCCACACCCATGCACACGTGTCACGTTTGTGTCACACACATACAGAACACATCACATTTCTGCCACACACACATTTGTGTCACACACACAGAATACATCACATTTATGCCACACACACACCCGTGCACACGCGTCACATTTGTGTCACACACACCCCCGTGCACACGCGTCACATTTGTGCCACCCACACACACACGAACGTCACACGTGCACACGGCCCCACACACGCATCACACGCGTCACATACCTGCACACGCGTGTCTGTGGCCACCCCGCAGAGCCGTGGCTGTCCCCCAGCACGCGTGAACAGTCACACACACACACAAACACACACACACATAAACACGCACACGCACACACGCGTGTCCCACTCACCTCTCCCCTGGCCGACCCCCGCCCGGGGCCGCGGGAGCGTTTCTCGTCTCTTTATTGAAGGAAGACTATTTCTAGAATCAAGGCTACAGCGTCACCTCGTCCCCGGGCGCTCGGATCCTCGCTTAAAGCGCCGGGGGGTGCGGGGAGCTGGGGGGGCTCGGCCTGCCCGGGGACCCCCGTGGGGCCACCCCTCGGGGCCACCCCGGGGACACCCCCGGGGACACCCCGGGGACACCCCGGGGAAGGAGCGAGGGGACAAACCTCGAGGGGACGAGGGGCTGGTGACAGCGCGGGGACCCCGCTCCGGCCGAGGGGGGAGCAAGCGGGGCTGCGCCAGAGCTGGGGGGTGTCGGGGGTTCCCGGGGGTGCGGGGCCGGGGCCACCCCGCGGGGGGACGCTGAGGAGGGGGTGGCCCCGGCGCCGCAGCGCGGGGGGCCCGGCTGGCCGTGGGGCCGGGGGTCTCCCGCCCGGAGCTCACCAGGATTGTGCTGGGTCAGGACCTCCCGCGGCCCCGATGCTTTTGTGCTTGTGCTGGCGGCTCCGGCTGCGGCACCGGCACGGGGCTGGCGGGGCACGGGGGGCCCGGGGGGCCGCGGTGCCGGGCTGGGGACTCGGGGGGCTGCGGTAGCACACGGGGCTGGGGGAGCCGTGGCACCAGGATGGGGCTGGGGGGTGCTTGGAGGGGGGGTGATGGCACCAGGATGGGGCAGGGGGACACCGGGCAGGGGCTGCCCCCGCCCCGGGGCTCTGCCCGCAGGAGCAGAGCACTATGGCGTGGGGACGGGGGCGCGGGACTGTCCCCAAGGGTGACACCGCCACCCCCACGTGGCACCGTCCTTCCCTCCCGCGAGGACCGATGGGGCCGGGCCCGGTGGCACCGGTTGTGCTGAGTGCGGGGGGTGCGGTCCGGGTGTCCCGGCGGCGAGTCCCCGGTCCTGCCGTGCCCGGGGGGGCGGCCGCGTGTCCCTCACCTCGGCCCCGTCTTCACCCCCGGCCCCGGGCCGAGCGCCGGCGTCCCCGCACAGTCACAGTGATGGCACACGGAGGACGAGGGGACTGTCCCGCTGCGATGCCACTGCCACGTCCAGCCGTGGGGGGGAGAAGGGGGGGTGGGCATCCGGAGGGGGGGCGCGGGCCAGTCCGGTGCTCTACATGATGCTGCACTTCCCCTTGATTTTGTCTGTCCTCTTCTGCTTGCTGGAGCGCTTCCCGTCGATGGTGAGGCTGACGTTCCTCCTCTTCTCCAGGTTCAGCAGCTCCTGGAAGAGCTCCTTGACGTTGTAGTTCATCTTGGCCGAGGTCTCCATGAAGGCGCATTTCCACTCCTTGGCCATGGCCTCCCCCTCCCTGCTCTCCACCTCGCGCTGCGTCTCGTCGCACTTGTTGCCCACCAGCATGATGGGGATGCTCTCCACGCTGCCCTTGATCTGCACGATCTGCTGGTAGATGGGCTTCAGCTCCTCCAGCGACTGCTTGCTGGTGACCGAGAAGACCAGGATGAAGGCATGGCCCTTGGAGATGGACAGGCGCTGCATGGCCGGGAACTGGTGGCTGCCGGTGGTGTCGGTGATCTGCAGGGTGCACACGCTCTTGTCGCAGCTGATCACCTGCCGGTACGTGTCCTCGATGGTGGGGATGTAGGTGTCGCGGAAGGTCCCCTTGACGAAGCGCAGCACCAGCGAGCTCTTGCCCACGCCGCCGGCGCCGAACACCACCACGCGGTAATCGTTGCTCTGCTCCGGCATCTTGCCCCGCGGTCGCTGCTGGGGCACAGGGAGGCGTCACCTCCGGTATCCCCCCCGAGATGCGGCCCCGGCCGGGAGCTGGGCTCGCTGCCCTTGGGACGCCCTTGCCCGCCGGCCCGGTGCCTCGGCTATTTTTGCCGGCTGCCCGCTGTGGCCATATGGCCGAGCGCGGCCACCGGCACCGCAGCTGCTGCCGAGGCTGCCGGGGGGGGCTCGCTGGGCAGGGACCCCCCCAGCCCGCCCGGGCAGCGGGAGCAGCTCTGCAGGGCAGTCACCGGCCCCCCGAGGTCACGGTGGCACCTGGAGTGCCCAGCTGGGCTCTCTGGCCAGGTACAGAGGTGCCCTTTCACACACACAGGGCACGCTGCTGCTGTCCTGTCACCCGTGTCACTCCCTGCCGCCCTGTCCCACGCCGTGCCATCCCTCAGCTCCGCTGCCACCCCAGGGATGTGCTGGGGAGTGGAGGGAAGGAGTGTGGCACAGCTCTGGCTGCGGGCGGTGGGTCAGAGACCCCCCGGGCACCCTCACGCTGCCAAACCTCGGTGCCCACCCGCAGGGGACACCTGGACCCAGGCAAGGTCCCCAGTGCAGCTCTGGGCTGTGAAACGAGGGGCACAAAGAGTCGCCGGTGCTGAGCCCCTGCTCCAGCTCCCCCAGTGTGGCGCAGGGGTGGCAGCACCAGCTCCGTCCCCCGAGGGTTCCCAAGGGACCCTCACAGAGCCTTGGGGACATTAAACCCACCACGGGACAGGGTTTCCAAAGGCACCCAGTCACAGGATGAGTGGGAAGGAGGGGAGGGAAGGGGGCCTGAGCACTGCTTAAGGACTGTCCCCAGTCAGCTCCACTCCTGCCAGCCCAGTTCAGGGAAGGGGGACAGCAAAGCGCCCCAGGCAGCCCCGTGCTGGTGGCCGCCCTGGGCACGGCAGCTCCTGCATCCCCGAGCATCTCCAGGGAACCAGCCCCTTCCCACACTGCTGCATCCCTGTCCCAGAGCACCGAGGGGTCCGGACCCCACAAAGCAGCCCCAAACCCCCGGCATGTCTCAGGCACCAGGGCCAGGCGAGGCTGGGAGCTGGAGGAGCCCATCCCCGCGGGCTCGGCCAGCCAAGGAGCTCATCCCACCGTGGGCTCCTCGGATCCTCCACGCGGGGAGCGTCACCAGCGCCCGGGGGCCGGGGCTGAGCTGGCGCGTGGGAACGTCCAGCCTTGGCCGGGGCTGGCAGTGGTGGCACCCTGTCCCACCTGTCTCACCTGTCCCACCTGTGCCATTCCACTTGTTCCACCTGTCTGTCCCACCTGTGCCAAAAGTGCCCCCGGGCTCACAGCCCTGCCATGGGGTGCTGAGGTGAGGGGCTGGGCTGGACAGAGCCTCACGGAACCGGGGGGGCTCTTTAGGTGACCCCATGGCCTGTGCCCAGCAGCACCCCGAACCCAACAGCCCCTGGTGCCCGAGGGTCCGGAGCACGGCCCCCCCTCAGCTCGTGGGCAGGGACCACTCGGGCCTGATCCTGCCGGGGGGCTCTGCACCCCCCAGAGCCCCCCAGCACCCTCCCACTCGGGCCCCCCGCACTGGGGGTGGCTCTGGTGGGGAGCTGGGGGTCAGGAGGGAGGGCACGGCAGGGGTGAGGGAGCAGGGGTGGGACGGGGAGCATGGGAAGGGCAGCATGGAGGATGAAGGGGCTGGAGGTCGGTCGGAGGGGCAGAGGAAGCGCAGGGTGAGCGAGCATCCCGCTCAGGATGGAGATGGAGAGGCAGGGCAAGAGCAGGACACGGCCGGAGAGGCAGAAGGCGCTGGATGGAGGGGCGGGATGGAGATGGAGGAGCGGGAGGGAGGGACGAGCATCCCGCTCAGGATGGAGATGGAGCGGCAGCGGGAGGGCACGGGCAGATGGCGGGGCAGGGTCGCGGGTCCCGCCGCGCCGCTCCCCGCCAGCACCCCCGGTCCCCGCGCCGGCCGCGCTCCCCCGGCCCCCGCCGCGCCGGTCGCATTGCGGTGCCCGCCGCCTCACCGTGTCCTGCCCGGGATCCGCCCTTGGCTGCGGGCGGCGCGGCGGCCTCAGCGCATGGCCCGGCCCGGGGCGGCCCCGGCGCGGCGGCTCCGCTCCGCCCGGCGCGGCTCGGTGCGGCGGGGCTCGGCGGGGCTGCGGCCGGTGCGGCGGGGCCGGTTCGGCTGGGCAGGCTCGGCTCGGCTCGCCTCGGCTCGGCTCGGTGCGGTGCGGCCGCCGCAGAGCCGATCCCGCCCCGCCGCCGGCCCCGCCCGCCGCGCCCGCCCCGCCCGGGGCCCCGGACCCCCGGGCCCGGCCCCGAGCGGCTCCGGGACGCCGACACACGGACAGCGATGGGGACAGACGGACAGGGATGCGCGGACAGGGACACACGGACAGCGATGGGGACAGACGGACAGGGATGCACGAGGATGGGGGCACACGGGCAGCAATGGGGATCCATGGGATGGAAACACAGGGACAGGGACAGACGGACAGACAGACAGACAGGAATGGGACGGAGAAGTGACACGAACAGGGTTGCACGTAGAGGGACATGCAGGGATGGGGACATGCAGGGATGGGGACAGGGACACATGGAGAGAGAGATGGGACACACGGGGGTGAGAGTGGACAGCCAGGCAGGGCGACACAGGATGGGGACACACGGACAGGGACACACAAACAGGGACACTTGGGGATGGGACACACGGATGGGAACACCACACGGACACCTGCACAGGCATGGAAACCAATTCCCATGATGAGGAACAGTCCAGAGACTCGTGGAAGAGGACAGAGCCCCACAGGTGGTGACAGGGGACACAGGGACAGGACAGACGGGCACCCACTGTCCCAGCCAGGCAGGGCACAGGTGGCAGAGGGTGCTGTGTGCCCCCACAGCAGTTGGGGGTGGCCTGGGCAGTGATGCTGGGCTTTGGGGACACAGAGGCCATGGTGCCACCCCAGCACAGGACCGGGAGCTTGTGCACACAGCGCAGGGCCTTTGCCACCAACTGGTGTCACCTGCTCATGGCAGAGCCCCAGAACCGCAGAGGGATCCTTGAGGGGACACACTGGGGGTCCTGGCTGAGCCCCTCCCCAGTGCCTGAGTGGGACCAGAAGAGCCCCGGGGTGACCATCCCCAGCTCTGTGTCCCACCACCGGCACTGGGCGCTGGAGGTGACCGGTGACTCCGGGGGTCCCACGGTCCCTGTCACAGCCGGGGTCTGCTCCTGCCTCCCCCCCCAGCCCCATTCCTGAGTGGCAGCAATTAAAATCCGCAGCCTCTATTAATAGCAGCCGGCGGGCACCGGGCCACGGTGGCACCCACGCGCTGGCACCGCGTCCCCACGGGAACGGGGAGGGCACGGGTGACATGGGCCCTCCCCGCGAGGTGACAAGGCCACCGGGGGGTGGTGGTGGTGGCAGCCTCAGCCCCCCCCTCCCACCGCGCTCGGAGCCGGCCGGATACTCCTCGTTAGAGGGAATGAATGAGTTTTCCTTGATCATTTTCCTGCGGCTCCTCCTCGTTCCATTGAGCCGCAGCTCCCCGCCAGGCCTGACGCAACGGGGCGGCCGCTCAC